AGCCCCACCTGAGAGGAACAGACTGCAGCTAGGTCCTGGCTGGCTCCCAGTGGTTTCTGAAAGCTGTGCTGTGCCTACAAAGTAGTCTCTGAGACTGAAGCTCAGCTATCAGCTGGGATGGCTGATTGGCCACCTCTGCACTCTTTACTGCAGCTCTGGATTGGCTGGGAGCAGGGAGAACATCCTTGGGGAGCTCGACGAGAAAGGAAGATTCCACACCTACACAGCCAGTCAGCCACTTCAGAGCCACTCTGTCCCTGTCAGGCCCAGACCAATAAGTCTGTCTGGAGGAAAATGGTAAAGATTTGTTCTACATTTTTATGGCTGGATTAAAAGGCTTATAAAGGGGGTAAGAGCTCATCTTCCCAGCACCACCTCAGGACAGCATGGAGGCAGCCGTTTAGGGTTACAATCCAGTAGACTAAGAGATGCATCTCAGAAACGAGAGTCGGAACTGTCCTGTCCTGCCTCTGGGCCACTCTAGGGAGCTGGTCCATTCGTGCCCTGGGAGGAAGGGAGGTGTCTCAGCTTAGTCAACACCCTCCGTTCCAGTCAGCTAAAGAACAGCATGTCCGGGCTGTGAATGGGAGGCCTGTCTGGCTCAGTCCTAGCCAAACTCCAGCCAGGATGGAGACTGCATACTTCAGCACGGCCTCACAGGGAGGCATTTGCTGCCCACATAGAATAACCTGGGGCTGTGGAAAATTATTCGGACGCTTTCCTCTTTCTCAAACTAAAATCATAATAAAAAGAGTTGAACAACATTTTTCCTTCCAAGGCAGAGGGCAGACCCCTCCATTCTGACTTGAATTCAGCCAAACAGGCAAGGACTCCCTTCCTGCCCTCAACTCCTATTGACCAGAGGCCCCTCTCCCACCACCAGGTGCTTCTTGCCAGCAGGAATGTCACCAGGAGGCAGATGTGACCATACATGGTCCTTTTTAAAATGCATCTCTGGGAGCTTCAGGGAAATAACAGAGAAATGAACGAAAATGAGAGCTGAGACACCCAAGAGGTCAGGCAAGATGGCAGGAAGGTACATAGCTCCCAGGTTAAAGAGTCAGGGCTGGTGTGGACCAGTCAGAAAACTGGCACACAGTTCAACAGAGGCGGCTGGAGGCGACGTTCGTTTATCCTGGGGGCTCAGACAACTTGAGGTCAAGTGGAAGATACTGTGTGAAGGCTTGGTGCTGAGGGGGAGTGGAGAAGAGGCAGAAGCACTTTCAGAAGTTTATGTCCTTCCCTGATCAGTACCCTCAATGTATCCACCAATGGCCTCCTTTTCAGCAAAACACAAAGCTGCCAAACACTGCTCATCATGCCTGGAAAACTCTTCCTCTCTCTCCCTAGTGTTTACCACCTACTGCTCTGATGGCTCAGCCTGTAGGGAGCTGTGCTGTTAACCTAAAGACCATTACCTCTCTGGGAGTTTGAATCCACCAGCTGCTCTGTAGAAGAATGATAAATAATCTCCTCCCATGGGATTTATGGCCCTGAAACCCCAATGGAGGGTCAGAGATAAGTCAGTTCTGACTCAAGGGTGAATTGTTATTTTGTGTGTGTTTTTCACGGATTTTGTGCTGGTTTCTCATAGAGATGCTCCTCTGGGCTAGGTGCTCACTGCATCGCTTTTGTAATTAGTGTCTGCAGCAATTACCTTACCAGAACCTTCATAATCATGCAGGTAATGCCCTGCTTTCTTGTGTCAATCCTCACCCCCCACGATGCAAGCTGCTTTGAGGGCAGAAACTACAAGCTCCATCTACTGAAAAGAATGACTTCTAAACTCTTTAACTGTGCTCTTCTATATTTAGGCTTGGAAACTCTATGATCTTTGATAAATGTCCATAGTTGTAGAGGGGCTTAGGGCCTTTTGTTTATAGGGTCGCTATGAATTGCGCTCGACATGAAGGCAATCAACCACCACCACAAAAACCCTGACAACAACAACAACAAAATACAATGTCAGACTTGGAAATAAGAAAGAGCTAGTCAGTTGAGTTACTCGGCCTTTGGGGGAGAGAAGTATAGTCAAATGGTGCAAAGTAATACGTTCCAAGTGCCCTGTCTGGAATGATCATGCAAATCAGCCATTAGCATGGTCTTCAGCCATCATCAGACAGTGCCTGACTGTTCTAGGGAAGTCATCAAAGGGAGAAAAATTACACATAATTTTTTTGTGTATGGAAAATCCACTATTTTGGAACAGTTGAGTATTTCTGAGGATGGCATGTCTAAACTCCAACCCGGCAGGCAGAGCAGCTGACAGAGAGCTCTGGCTGGTGTGACCAGGGTAGAGAAATCCAAGCTCCCTGGAGAGGAGATTGCAAAGCTGAGAGGTTTTTTTTGGGGGGGGGTGCAGTTGGCGGAGGAAGGCCACAATGAGATGAAAATCAAAGGGAGACAGTACCACTTTATGTTAGGGGACAGGTAGATCAGGCTGGCAGAGGGCCTAGTGAGGAGAACGAACCATCAGCCACAGGGGTGCACATGGGAGGCTGAGAGGACCTGAGAGTGGGAAGGTGAGCAAGGGCCCGCACTGCTGCAGCTGGTGTTACCTTTCTCTGGGCCCAATGGACACAACAGACTGACTGCGGAGAAGCTTCACCAATGTGGCAAAGGCGAGGCAGTTTACCAGCTTACTCATGTATCAAAGAATGACCATACAAATTTTTGAGAAGCAGTATCAGTTTAAGGACAATACAAATTTTTGAGAAGCAGTATCAGTTTAAGGACTAAGGTGCACCTGGTTCAAGCGATGGTCTTTTTTCCGCCCCCAATCACTTAATATGCTGCTGAGAGCTGGACAATGAATAAGGATGACAGAAGAAGAATTGATGCCTTTGAGCTGTGGTCTTGGAGAAGAGTACCGAATAGCTCATGGATTGCCAAAAGAACAAACAGATATGTCTCAGAGAAGGTGTAGCCAGAACACTCCTTGGAGGCAAAGATGATAAAGCTTTGTCTTACATACTTTGGGCAAGTTGCTAGGAGAGGCTATTACTTGGAGGGGGACATTATACTTGGAGAGGTGGAGGGATGGTGAAAGAGAGAAAAGATCCTCAACCAGGTGGATTGACACAGTGACTGCGGCAATGTTCTCAAGTGAGTCAGAGATTGTGAGGCTGGCACAGGATAGGACAAGGTTTAGATTGTTGCTCAAGGGCCACGATGAATTGTACTCAACTTGACGGCACCTAACAACAACATCATCATCATCATCATCATCATCATCATCATGATCATTTAGGTTAATTTTATATCCTAAACTTTCTAAAGCCTAATCCTTGTCTCTGTAACTTACTGGAAATGGGGTATCAAAAAAGCTCTTAAGAGTCTTGAATGGGAAGCATAACCTCTCCTCCCCACCTGTTCCCCAGAGGCAGCTGCCCCAGCCTGCCCTGCCCCGGGCCTGCCTCACTCTATACCCAGACTGTACACTGAGTGTCTGGTAGACATAGCTCCAGCCTGCCTCAGTCCTTCAAAAGACAGATGGCTAATACAACCCCTATCTAAAAAAAAATCACATCTAATTTGATATAGAGCATTCCTGAAAGCATACACACAAACAAATATTTGTTCACCAATGGTCACTGCAACACTGGTCAACAGCCAAAGTGTAGAAACTACCTATATGTCAACCACCAGATGAATCAATAAACAAAGACTATATGTATACACAATGGAATACAGCCAGAGGGAGAAATGAAGTTCTGATACGTGTTACAACACAGACAGACTTTGAAAACATTGTGCTGAGTGAAGGAAGTCAGACATCAAAGAAAAAATATTATATGATACCAATGAAATAAAATACCTACAACTGACACATTGTTAAGAGACCAAAGTAACTGAGCTGGATGCAGTAGTAGGGCGGGGGTTAAAAGGGAGTCAATGCTTAGGGGTAGAGTTGTGGTTAAGGGTGATATAAAAATTGGAAATAGTGATGATTATTACATAATATGATAAATGCAATGAAACCTGTGTCACTGAACTGTACATGTAAGAAATGTTGAAGTGGCAAATTTTTTTGTGAGCTGTCTATCTAATCTACACGTTATTGTTATGTGTAGTCAAGTTGAAACTGATTCATAGCTGACCCTCCAGTGGGTTTTCAGAGGCAGTGAATAGCATCAGAGGAGAGGATTCATTTTTCTCTTGCAGAAGAACTCCTGGTGAATCAGAACTAAGCACCTGTGGGTTGCCAGTGCAGTGCCTTACCAAGAGTTCTCTTCATATAGGTTGTTGTTATGTGCCGTTGAGTTGCCTGCGACTCATAGTGACTCTAAGTACAACAGCTCTGAAGCCTGTCCTGTCCTGAGCCAGCCACACTGACTCCAACACACCTACCCTCACCCCAGTTACCATGTCAATTCAGCCAGTTATCAGACCAAATATACAAACAAACACACGCTTCTTTTTTTTATTTTTATTTTTATGTGCGTGTACCGTCAAATCAGATCTGACTGGTACAGGAGGAGATTGTCCCTCCTTCCCCGGCAAAGCATCTGGTGGATTCGAACTGTGCGCCTCTGGGATTGTAGTTGCAGCTCCTTGCCACTAGGCCACCAGAGCTCCCTAAACACACGCTTCTTTTGCATTATCTTTTTCTCTAGCTTTTCTGAGCCAAAAGGCAAAACACATAGCACAAAATATGAAAAGATTTGAAAAGTATTTTTTTGGTTTTTTTCTCAGGAGGCAGGGCTCTGTGCTAACTGCCTCGGGTCTGGCTACTCAGGCTTCACTACTGTCAGAAATTTCTCTCCAGCATTCACCCTCACGCCAGAATTCTCAGTCTAGCAAATTTTTGGGCAACAGAGTACATGCAAGATGTGTTTAGGTTTGAGGCTTCCAAAGCCTCATTCTGCCTTGAACTATTATTTATGGCTGTCCATCCTTCAAAAACATGTTGTTGGAGACCAAAATGATCACATCACAGAAGCTCTGAGAATAATTTCCAAGCAATGGGAAAAAGTTTCAGAAAATCTGTCACCACTCACCTCATGAATTAGACATTTGTCTATGAGCTGTAAATAGGAACTTATATTTTCCTCATCAGGTCGGGAGACCAAGAGCTGTGTACACACTGTGGGTTGAAAAAGAAAAAAAAATAAAAGATGAATTAGAAAAATGTACAACAGTTCTGACCTCTGAAATCTGCCTCTGATTTCCTTTCAGGACCAATTGACAGAAATATTTTTTGAGAGGCCTGTGGGTTTACATAAGGTTCACACAAAAGGCAAAGACGCTTCTCATTCCACTGAAGTCAAAGGCTTGGTCACCACAGGAGCCCTCGCCTCAAGAAGCCCCTTCAGAGAATTCCAGTCATTCCATTCTATATTAAGCCTTCTACAGTGGAGCCTGAGACAGACACTTCGAGAGAGAACCCAGCAGTTGACAGCATTGTCCTGAACTCTATCTATCTTGAAACCAGGCTCCTTCGGAGAAGAGGTTCAAAGGCATCACAGAACACTAGCGCTGTCAGAAAGCAGTTTCTGGGATTTTATGAATGAACCACATGCCTCACCTCCAGCCAGGTAGGAAGCAGTCATGGTTGGGTTTGTAGGAATGTGGCTGGCACATCTTGCAGGATGTGAGGTGTGTGGGTGTACATGCATGCAGGAAGAAGCCTGCGACTCAATCGCTGAGCTACTACTGGAGGGTTATTTTCTCAGTATGATATGCACAGTTATGCATACACAGACTCACCTACACACGCAAGCAAGTGCTAACACAGACAGGGCAGCCAGTCTGCGGGTAGAGCACACATGAGCTACTGAATTTCTTACTGCCACAGGAGACGTGACCACGTGCTGGTAGCCCAGGAGCTCTCATCAGATCCATTGATGCTGCACCAATCTCAGCTCACTGTGACAGCACAGAATGGCCCCATAGAGTTTCCAAGGCCAGACTCTCTTTATGGAAGTAGGTGGCGATACCTTTCTTCTGCAGAGTGGCTGGTGAGTTCAAACCACTGTTGCCTGGTAAGCAGTCAAATGTTTAACCACTATGCTACCAGGACCCCTTGCACTAACCATAGAGGCTGCTCTATTCTAACTTTGTAGAAGGCCAGGGGGGAGCTGATAGGACAAAACAAGTTAGTCAGAAAATAAAAATACCTGGTACTCAAGTAGACCAACCTTGGCACCATATTTAACTTTTTTTTTTCTAAGCTCTGGTAGCTTAGTGGCAAGAAGCTGTGCTGCAAGCTCAAAGGCATGCAGCTCGAGTCCAAAAGCTGCTCTGTGGGAGAAGGATGGGCAAACTCCTCCTGTGCAATTAACAGCCTTTTAAAATAGCTGCCAGAGGGTCAGCTATGGGTAAGTTCTGACTCTACAGTACATGACAAAAACAAAGCCTTACAGAAGCCCTGGTAAAATAGTGTGTAACAGATCAGGTAGCTAATCAAAAGGTTGGAATTTCAAATGACTGGTCTTCTTTCATGAAAATTTACAGCCTTGGAGAGTTAAGGGAGGGCTGGCAGGCACTGGAGTGGACTTGACAACGGTATCACATCCATGGATGGTTTTGTATACAGATTTTCCCTTCAGCATTGTCTGATTTGGAAATGGCCTCATTGTCCATTAATAGGGGCCTTGTTACACGAATTATGCCTTATGAGTAAAGGGAATAGCATGCAACCTTTAAAAAGGAATGAGGTGGTGCTATTTGTATTGACAGAAATAGCAAAAATATTTCATGTAAAAAAATTCCAAGCTACAGAAAAGGATATAAAGACCAGTTGTGTAGAAAAAGGATGCTCATAATTAGTAAAACGTGTATGAGGACACAAGGGGGGGGGTAGAAGCAGAGGGGTGAGGATGGGCAGGCGGTAATTACAGTGTCGCACAATTCAATTGGTGGAGGGAGGGCTGGGTAAAGGAGATGGGAAAAATCCAGTGTGGAAAACAATGTATATGAACTTTGTCAGTAAATCAGTATAAAATAAAAATTTTATTAAAGAAAAAAATAAAGGCTTCTCATGCACTTGTATATAATTAGATAGTTTTGGAAGAGATACCCTCAAACAGGAGCACTGCCATCTCTGAGGAGGAAGATGGCTGGCAGAGTAGCAATGCTTTCCACTTTCTATCATTTTGCACGTAAAGCATGTAGTTATCGTTTACTCTCAAGGCAGCTAAGTACATAAGAGAAATGTGAAGAGGGATCTATTATCTCCTGATAGAGATGTGAGACTCCTCACAAGGCATGACATACATCCACACATATGACAACACACATAAAGCCATGGAAAGGTGGAGTCCTCACGCTTGTGGGAGGAATCTCTTCTAATCAAACAAAACTAAGAGCCTAGCCTGAGGAGGAGGTGGGGAGAGGAGCTGGGGAGAGTGCGTTGGTGAGTAGGGTGAAAAGAACTTATAAAGTCATGCAGCTACCGTCATGTCACTCTGAGAAGGAGCTGTGTGTCATCACATAAACCATATTTCTATGAATTTAAGTCTTTTTCAAACATGTATTAAGCGAGTTTCTTACAAAGTTAGGGGCTCATTTCATTTGGTGTAAGTGTTCTGGGCAAGTCTACTTGTACAGAAGGGCAAGTTGTGCACTGCACAAGAACTCTCCAAGCCCAGTGCCTGTAATGCTGCATCCACTCAGAGGGGTACCCGACAGGTAGTTTATCGAGCACCCAGAGGAAGCCTCTCAGAGCACACAGCCCTGATGAATGATACTAGAAAGAACAAAGGTGGAAAGTGAGAATCAGGTTTTACCTTTGCCCATGACACGTGTGAATTGTCCAGGGAGATCCCCCTCTGGCAGAGGGGCGACGGCCAGCTCCCCATCACAGCTGCTCAGCTGGTGAGGCTGGAGCCCACCACTGGCCCCGGCTGAGGTGGTGGCTGTGGCACTGGGGCCTGTGGTGCTGTCTTTGCAGTCAGAGCTCTGGCTCTCGGGGCCCATCAGCGGAGGCTGGTGTGGGCCCTGGGACTCACGACGGCGGGCCTCCGGGGTGGTGCTCGGGGAGCTGTAGGCTTTGATGGGCGTCAGGATCATCTGGTGCAGTTCCTGGAGTGGGATGCGCAGGTTGCCTCCCTCGATGATGTCCTGTGTGGTTAGAGGAAGAAGGCATCCAGTAAGGCCAGGAACTGCCACCTTGCTGCTTCATTTCTCCGAGCTTGGCTGTTCACCAGGCAGGATTCAGGCTGCTGGCCCCTGCAGCACAACTTACTTTGGGAAGGCAACCATGACTCTGATAGAAAATTTTAAACATACAAATATGTACTAAAGACATTTTTTACCATCTACAGATGACCACTAAAATGATTTGGGACATATTTTCTTTCTTAGTTTCCTCAGAGTATCTCTATAAAATGTATTTCTGTATTTCATAGGCATATACTTTTTTCTGGATGAAAAGCTTGTTTTTCCTAATGAGTTTTTAAAATGTATTTATTGTGATTTGCATGGGCGTTTACATAACAAATTGACTGTCCTTTCAGCCATTCACGCACAATTTGTTTTATGACATTACAATCCCTACACAGTAATTACACTCTTCTGACTCTTCTCTGTGATGCTCATTTCCATCAATCTGTCTGTTTCACCCCTTCTTGCCTTTTGGGCCGTGGCCAGACGCTTCTCTTTCTCTCTTTCGATCTCATATGGCTGGTGTTTTAAGGACTAAGTACCTCTCTAGTGGTACTGTCCACTGTATTATACAGGCCTACTGTTTGGCTGAAAGTTGAGCCACAGCGACGAGGGTAGTTCCAACCCTAATGGGTGACTGAGGGTCTTGGGGGTCCTTCTATCAGTCTCTATCAGATCAGTAAGCCTTTATTAATTTGAGTTTTAGTCCTCATTTTCCCCCAATACTGTCCAGCACCCTCTAACATGATCCCTTTTAGAGTGATTAGCAATTGTAATCTAGTCCTTCTGGTCTCAGAGTTGTGGAGACTGAAGTTTTATACACTCAATTTGTTGTTGTTGACTGCTGTTGTGTCAAGCACAACTCAAAGTGACCCTATGAAAAAAGACCTGAAGCCTTTCTATAACTATCGTTGTTTCTCAAAGTTCACAGTTTACAGAGGCATGCTGTTTAGGAAGTCCTGCTCTCAATAGGTGATGCATAATGGAGCTGGTCCCTAAGGCAGCTTGACACTATGGATGATTCATTGTGAATGAAGATCCTACTCATTTGCACTTTCCCTTGGCCCATGACAAAGCAGCAGCACAGGGCTGTGGTTAAAGGTATAGATTCTTATTTAGATGCTTAGGTTTACATTCTGGCTCTGCTGGCTGCTGGCAGTGTGAACTTGGGCAAACTATTTAAGTTCTCCCTACTTAATTTTCCAGAGTGGAAGACCCTAAGTGAGATGGACTGACACAGTGACTGTATCACAGTAATCAGAATGACTGAGATCATGTGGATGGTACAAGATAGGGCCAGGTTCTGATCTGCTGTTCACAGGGTCACTATGAGCCATAGTCAACCCATGACACCTAAGGACAACAACAACAGCAATGATATCAGTTTGAAGACTAAGGTGCACCTGATTTGAGCCATGGCTTTTCCAATCACCTGCTATACATGAAAGAGCTGGACAACAAATAATGATTACAGAAGAAGAATCAGTGCCTTTGAGCTGTGATGCTGGAGAAGAGTACTGAATGTCCCACGGATGGCCAAAACAATAAATGGATAGGTCTTGGACAAAGTGCGGCCAGAGTGCTCCTTGGAGGCAAGAATGGCGAAGCTTTGTCTCACATACTTCAGACATGTTTTTTGGAGAGACACTGATATGATGCTTGGAAAGGTGAAGCGTCATCAAAAGAGAGGAAGACCCTGAGGGAGATGGATTAATAGTGAGTACAGTGATGGCTCAAGTGTGTTGGGGATGATAAGGGTGGCCCAGGCTTCAGATGTGTTGTTCAGAGGGTCACTATGAGTCCTATCTAACTCATCACCTAGCAGCAGCAACAACAATCAACTAATTAGAGATAGCAATAATTACCACCAAAAAAAATGACCACAAAGAGTGGCTGTGATGATATCAATATCTGTAATGCCCAGGACAGTGTCTGTCACTGTTCTGTATTTCTTTGATAGCTTATTAAGTATATGTGAGGGCTAGCCCTGTGCTATACATTGGGAATATGGTGGGAACAACTTGTAAGATCCTCTTCCTCCTAGTGAGGAGATGTATGTATCAGGTCAAGGAATGACAAGTGTGGGACAGGGATGCCATGAGGGGAGGACACTCTGAGGGGGTTACATCTAATGAGTGAATGAGCCTGGGTGCAGAGAAGTCCAGGAAAGAGGAGTGAACCAGGCAGAGGACATGGCAAGGGCACAGGCTCTGCTGTGTACTGACCTGTGTCCACTCAAGAGATTTGAAGACCAAATATAACCTTATTTGGAAACAGGATATTTGAAGATGTGACCAGTTAAATTATCATGAGGACACAAATGTGCAGAATATAACTACACCTCATGCAATTTTCTAGGCAGTGTGGGGTTTTTTTTTTTTAGATGATCCCCGGTATTTCCTTTGGGAGCTCTTTGCATGAAGCACCTTTTAGTTAGTAGTTGAACACCTGGAATCACCTCGGCCATCATGAAACACACATGGACTCCCAGACTGGAGTAAGGGTAAGCCCTACTCCACCTAAGGGGTGTCTTGAAAAGACAGAGGCAGAGAGACAGGCGAAAGCCACCATGTGAAGGTATGTCTTCAAGACAACCATTCCTGGGGTTACCAGAACTGAGAGGAGAAGAATGGAACAGATTCTCCATCTGAGCCCTAAACAGGAATGACGCTGACAACACTGTGGTCTCAGACTGCTAGTCTTTGGAATGGTGAACTCGTAAATTTCCATTCTTATAAGCCATGTAATTTGGATGAGTTTATGATGGCAGCTCTAGGAAACGAACACTCTAGCTTTAGGCTCAAAGATGAGAGCATTCCTGGAGTTGTGAGGAACAGTGAGGCGAGACAGGGGGTGATGGCAGAGGTGACAGAGAAACAGTCCAAAGATCTACTGCGATCGATTTTGGAGACATGCAGGCCAGGCTAAGATGCTGGGATTTAGATTAAACACGATGAGAAACCCAGAAAAGATTGTGAGCAGTGGCATTAAGTGTTCTAAGTTTTATAATGATCATTCTGACTGCTGTAGGAAAGAAAAAAATAGTATAAACACACAGCTTTGAATATTATATAATAAAATGGCATCATTCTGCCCAGAGTTTGATATTACTGCTGTTGTTGTATAGTGTAGAGTTAGAAGTGATTCACAGCTGACCCTCTAGTGGGGTTTTCAGAGGCAGGAAATCATGGGAGGACACTGACTATCTCCAGTGGGGCAGGTGGCAGGTTCAAGCTGCTGGCAGGGCAGCTCCTCAACACCACCACTAGGCCACCAGGGCTCCTCATAGTTTGACAGACTGGACTGTTGTTGTTGAGTACCATCGAGTCATAACTGACCCATAGCTGACTCTCCAGCAAGTTTTCAGAGGCAGTAAACCTCATGAGAGGAGACTGCCCATCTTTCTCCCACAAAGCAGTTGGTAGAGTCAAACTATGTGCAATCAGTATTGCAGCTTCTTACCACTAGGTCACCAGAGCTTCCTAGGGTACTATTTACTAGAAAGATGAAAGAAGGGGGCTGTGGTGGCCCAGTGGTAAGAAACTGTGCAGTAATCCTGAAGGTAGGAGGTTCGAATCCAGCAGCTGCTCTGTGTGGGAGAAGGATGGGCGTCTCCTCCCGTGCAGTCAAGAGCATCTAAAAACCTGCTGGAATGGCAGCTAAGTGTCAATTCTGACTCGACAGTACACAGACCATGAGCACTCATCTACCTGCTCAGTGCCCACAGACTTCAGGATAGCTCTGTGGCTAGGAATGTGACTGGGGTTAGCAAACTGGAGTTCTTTCCTGAACAGTGTGTGGGCCTAACTTTCTGCCCGAGGGCCAGCCTTCAAAGCCTCTACAAACAAAGCTCTCACCCAGGAAAGACAGTGACAACCAGGCCCTTGATTACTAATGAAGTATGTAATCTTCTGAGAGCCCAGAATAGCAAGCAGATAATTTCAAAAGCCTGAAGCATGACTGCCCAATCTGTTCCTGGGATCATCTCCTACCAAGAAGAATTGCTTGATGATGTCAGGGGATGCAAGCATATGCAATGCAATAATTTCCACACCCAAACCTTTCCAATCAATACCTCAGAAGAAGAAACCGGAGGATGGCAGCCTCAGACACACGCTTTTCAATTCTAGGCAGCTATAGACACCAACAGTCAGGCTTCTTGTTGGTGGGAACCCGCTTTGCAGAAGCAGGCTTTGTGGAGAGGGACCAGGGACACTGGGCTAGACAGGCCTGTCTGCAGTAAACACTGACATGACATTGATGGGGAAGTTACCATTAAGGTAAGCAAATGAGTAGGGGTAATACTCTGTTGTCGAGGACAACAACGATGAAACAAGAAGCAATGATGTTCGTTTGGAGACTAAGGTGCATCTGATTTAGGCCATCTGAGAGCTGGACAATGAATAAGAATCACAGAAGAATTATTGGTATCTTTAAATTGTGGTGTTAGAGAAGAATACGGAATATCCTATGGAATTCCAAAAGAAAAAGCAGCTATGTCTTGGAAAAAGTGTAGCCACAGTGTTCTTTTCAGGCAAAGACTATGAAGCTTCACATATATATTGGGTATGTTGTTGGGAGAGGCTATTCCTCAGAAAGGGACATTATGCTTGGAAAGGTCAGTGAAAAAGAGGAAGACCCTCAACAAGAAGGACTGACCTAGTGACTGCAGCAATGGGTTCAAGTATGTCAGAGAAACTGAGGACTGCACAGGACAGGGCAGGCTTCAGATCTGTTGTTCAGAGGGTCACTATGAATTGCATTCAACTCAATAACACCTAACAACAACAACAACAACAACAACAACAACAACAATGCTCTGTTACCAAATTCACGCCTGCTGTCGCCCCATGAGAAGGCGGCTTCTGTTAGTTACTGAGTGGTGGGGGAAGGAGATGTGGGTTCTACTAAGAGATGAACTCCTTCAAATGTGAAACAAACATTTGCCACCCACCAAC